TTTTGTTTACAAGCTTATGAACATACATATACTGCTTTTCATAATATTAGGTTGTAGAAATGTTTGATACGAATTTCTATACTGTGTTTAGCAATAAAAGGTAGCAAAACTGTTTACAAGTTTATGAAACAATGGCTTTATACGAACCTCTATACCGTGTTTCGTAATAACAGGTACTAAATTAATTAAAACTGCGTTGTTTTTTACTTGAAATGTTTACTGTTTTAGTTAGTTAAGAACAAAGCCACACAATTGGCTATCTGTGCTCTCCCCACCACGGGTATCGAAACCTGGTTTCTAGCGTTGTAAGTCCGCAGACATACTGGTGTGCCACCGGGGGGGCTACTTGAAATGTAACGAGATGACTGCACGTTTTGTATAGGTGATGCCTAAAACTTGAAATTGTGATATAATAAATGCTGCAATAAGATATTGGGTAAACTAACCGTTGTTCGAAATAATGAAAAAATCCGTTACTTTGAGTGATTATGTAAATTAGCTGCTTTAAAGAATTATGACGAGAAGTAATTACGTAAATTGTCCCTCTTTTGTCGAAAACATCGATTTAAATAATATTATCACGTATATGATTTATCTCTTAGGTTTTATGAGTTTGTTCATTATCAGACTGAAAATATTTTATACGTAACATAGCTTGATTGACAGGTTTCAAGAGCGTAATCTTCTTGTACTGATCACGTTAAGAAACCGGCCAACTAAAGCAGAAGAACAAGAGGCCTATACTATATCTCAGGAGAACTCTCTTCAATCACTGTTTACAGGCCTATACTATATCTCGGGAGAACTCTCTTCAATCAGTGTTTACAGGCCTATACTATATCTCGGGAGAACTCTCTTCAATCAGTGTTTACAAGCCTATACTGTATCTGGGGAGAACTCTCTTCAATCAGTGTTTACAGGCCTATACTATATCTCGGGAGAACTCTCTTCAATCAGTGTTTACAGACCTATACTATATCTCAGGAGAACTCTCTTCAATCAGTGTTTACAGACCTATATGAGATACAGTATAGGCCTGTAAACAGTGATTGAAGAGAGTTCTCCTGAGATACAGTATAGGCCTGTAAACAGTGATTGAAGAGAGTTCTCCTGAGATATAGTATAGGCCTGTAAACAGTGATTGAAGAGAGTTCTCCCAGTTATAACTAAGGACATGAAAATGAACATAATAGATACAAGTATTGAAGTTTGATGTAAACACTGATTGAAGAGAGTTCTCCTGAGATATAGTATAGGCCTGTAAACAGTGATTGAAGAGAGTTCTCCCCAGATACAGTATAAGCTTGTAAACAGTGATTGAAGAGAGTTCTCCTGAGATATAGTATAGGCCTGTAAACACTGATTGAAGAGAGTTCTCCTGAGATATAGTATAGGTCTGTAAACACTGATTGAAGAGAGTTCTCCCGAGATATAGTATAGGCCTGTAAACACTGATTGAAGAGAGTTCTCCCAGATACAGTATAAGCCTACTGACATTAAAGTTGCATTAGTTACTGACGTTAAATTTGGATTGGCTACTGACATTAAATTTGGATTGGCTACTGACATTAAAGTTGCATTAGTTACTGACGTTAAATTTGGATTGGTTACTGCCATTTAAGTTGGACTTGTTATTGACAGACAAGTTTGATTGGTTATTGACATTAAATTTGGATTCGCTATTGATATTAAAGTTGGACTTGTTACTGACAGAGAAGTTTGATTGGTTACTGACATTAAATTTGGATTCGCTATTGATATTAAAGTTGGACTTGTTACTGACAGAGAAGTTTGATTATTTGAATGGCTGTTTTCTTTCAAGAACAAACTACAGTATTGTTAGGAGTGGAAAATAAAGCAACATTTATAAATCTATTTCTGGGAACCTCCAACCCAGTTTTCTTATCAATGACCAATCCAAATATTAGTTTACGATGGTGTAACTGTCAGTGATCTTTAAAAGTCCGTAACCTTTACACGCAGTAAGTACTTTCTCGTCACAAACGATGTCAGTTTTCATTTGGTAACCAAAACTATTCTACGAACCACGTACAACTTATAACACAACTTTGTGTTACTGTTTTGACATAATTTGTATTTCAGTTCTTACAACGTAAATCAACAAGGTATTATATGTCCTTCGAGGCTCAGTAGTCTTTGTCTAAACTGGATTTTGGGCTCAATAATCTCAGTCCAAACAGATGATGCTTGCAGTACCATTTTACGGACACGCTTGACATACTGAGAGGAGGACCAAGGAAGGTTTAGCGAACACCTTCTGTAACAACTGTTTAAACACAATGTGCTGTTGGACAATTGGTTTGTAAGAAATAAAATGTGAAGTATATTGAGTTTTATTTATAGCCACACTATCTTCATAACATTATTGATCAAGACACACAGTAGTGTGTCGTGTGGCCAAAAAACAACCTACAGGACACACTGGGTGTTATTAACAGGAGTGATAGTTTAGCAATTTTCCACCTTCAGTAGCTCGGACTGTGGTGATCCAAACTATCACACATTTTCAGTAGATGTGCTCCACTGGACTCTTACTTCACATACCTAATTTAAAGACAATCTATTAAGAAATACACAAGATATAACATATCTAATTTTCAGTGAATTTCTTCCTATTTTTTTCGCACCAAAAGTACGGAAACTTTATTTGATAGAAACACATACTTACCTTTTATGGATTAGCTTCTAATTTGGTACACTGTCAGATCTTTAAAGCCTATAATTAGGAGTCTCATTTGGTGTAAATATAAGCCAGTCATTCAACCAAAACTTATCAACTTTAACGAAAATTTGTGAGCACGCCTACGCAAAATGTTACGTGAGCTATCGGTCTAACATTTTTACTACAGCTTCACTTGAGAGTAAAAGTGAACCTTTTTAGTTTTTTGTCATTCGGATTAACGACGCCTGATTTAGAGCAGCAAAACTATAAGGTAAAAGGTCGTGCAGATACAGTAGTATTGGTTAGGCCAAGTAAACTAGATTACCAGTTTCTAGCTCAAGTTTTCAAAATAATCATACTGGTGGACGGTTATTATTCATTATTCATTGCCAACATTTAAGCACACAATTGCTAAATTTTATGCAATTATCCTAATCAAACAGCATTTAGGGTCACGTGATATTAGCTTAAGCAATAATGATGCTTGTTACGGTTGTACCAATTTCATGGGGGTGATGACAAGAAACTGTTAATCTAAATTCCATGGCGTTACTATAACGGTTTGCTTTGTTTTGAATTTTGCGCAAAACTACACGAGGGCTATCTGCGCTAGCCGTCACTAATTTAGCAGTGAAAGACTAGAGGGAAGGCAGTTAGTCATCACCACCCACTGCCAATTCTTGGGATACTCTTTTACCAACGAATAGTGGGATTGACCGACACATTATAACGTCCCCACAGCTGAAAGGGCTAGCATGTTTGGTGAGACGTGGATTCGAACCAATGACCTTCAGATTACAAGTCAAGTGCCTTACCATCTGGCTATGCCGAGCCTACTATAAAGGAAAATATTAACACTGTTTCAGAGAGGAAAACTACCACCAAATATTTCAAAAAATCTTATTGTTTCTGTAAAGTATAGGTCTGTTCCGAATAATAGGGTAGCGATCCTGTAGCTAATGTTGGTTACTATCGAGTGTCACTTTCTTACTTGCTGTGGTTTGTCGGTGTGTATTGACAGAAAGTCAAGATATCTAATCAAAAACACCTTAGGTGTGAAATAATGTGCGGCCAAAAAATGAATGAAATCAAAATTGGCGGCCAAATTGGTAGCTACATTTATAGCATTGATAATAATTTTACAGCTAATATTCATTTATTAGTTAGCTAGGCCACGTACATTGTTTTACCCACCATCATGGCCCAAGTTGAACAAAAAACTCGGCCTAGTTAACTAATGAATGAATATTAGCTGTAAAATTATTATCAATGCTATAAATGTAGCTACCAATTTGGCCGCCAATTTTGATTTCCTCCACTTAAGTCGCACACTGAATTCTTTTTGGCTGCACTTTTATATATTATTAACATGAAATATGCTGTTAGCACAGCCGGCTTGACGGTCCCTGGTATTAGGCGAAATACCTCGTCGGCACCAGATGTAGTATGTTGAACATATTATTATTATTTGCTTTACCTATAAGTTCATATAAAAGATGTGATCAATAATTCTGAACTAATCATTAACAATTATTAAATCTTTAGAAACGTCATCGTATTAGTTAAAGAAAGTATTTTTTATCCTGTATTTAGGTTTTATTTGAATTTCTACAATATCAGAAAACTTACATACACATAAAAATTTTTGTTTAGTAATAAATACTTATAGATTGATTAATTTCAACTTGTAATTATTATTGGGATCTAAAACTCTTTCGTTCTAAACTCTCCATATCTAGAAAGGTATTAGTGGGATTACGGTCGAAAGCGTAGTTTAAATTGTCACGATTTACGTTTACTTAGTTTTATTTACGAACTTGGGCTGAGAATGTATAGATGATTATCAAAAACCTGTTTATAAGGTTGTTAACTTATGTTTTAGTGTTTTAACAAGGTTTCAATTGATCAAATTGCTTATACATTCACTGCAAAGAACCTTTTTAAAAACCTTAATTATATTCAATCATTACATAGATTCCTCATGAAAAAAAAAAGACTAATTTAACGAATAATAAATAATAAAAAAATAAGTTTTTTGCAGAGTCTTGAACTTAAAATAAACATATAGATTAATTAATCTGTGAATGAAAGACACTGCTATATTACTTTATAGGCGTTGCTCATTTCAGAGATAATCGTGTGATCGATTTGTATTCGTCACAGCAAATTTTTAACAATCGTAATACGTTTTCATTGATCAATAGATGGGTATACTTATTCTTCACATCAGCGTTTTTTTACGTATTTGTTGACTGAAACTTGAACTGTAGAATTGAATCACAAGTTAAAATATAACTGTCTTTTCATTTCACTTCAGATTGCAGAATGACACCCGCTGTTGACTTGAGCGACCTCAAACGGCGTTATTGTGGCAGACTTCAACATTCCCTCTTTTTGTCTCTGTTGACGATATGTTTGTTATATGGCCTCGTTTTCATGGTCGTCACCCAGGTCGTATATAATCGGGTAAGTTAAAGCTCCAGCTTGAAAACATTGGTTCTATTTTTTAAAAAAAAGTTCTTATAGATACAATGATTGCTTATTATTTGTAAAGGTCGTTCATTTTGCTACACAAACAACATTGAATCACGTTTTAGTAACGTGGAAAGTTAAGGCTCAACTTTCTGTAAATCGCCGCGAGAGCGCAATAAAACTCAGTATTTATTAGATAGTTTAGATATTCTGATGAAGAGCTAAACATCTGTGATACGCTGACATTACATTTATTACGTACTCACGTCATATAAACGAGAGGATGACGGGTAATTTTTCAAGAACAGTTACATCGTATTGTTCGACCACATTGTTTCCTTAGTTTTGAGGGCTAATAATCAGATGAGGAACAGGAGAAATATAGAGTCGGGGGGGGGGAGGGTGATTTGGTGGACAATGAGGTGGACATACTGTGAGAAACTGGTTCAGTAAACCCAAGCTAAGATCCTTCCTTCATCTCATTTACTGAGAAAGGTTTACCATTCGAACGAAGGATTTCTGATACACAATCAATCACCATCTCTGTGTATTGTTTGTTTGTAATTAAGCAAAAAGCTACACAATGGGCTATCTGTGCTCTGCCCACCACGGGTATCGAAACCCGGTTTCTAGCGTTGTAAGTCCGCAGACATACCGCTGTGCCACTGGGAGGCATCTCTGTGTAGAACCGTACTGAAGGTTTCATATAGACAGGGTATCACCGTCTCTGTGTTGATCCTTACTGATAGTTTCAAATAAACAGTGGATCACTATCTCTATGTAGAACCGTACTGAAGGTTTCATATAAACAGGGTATCACCGTCTCTGTGTAGATCCTTACTGATGGTTTCATATGGACAGGGTATCACTATCTCTATGTAGAACCGTACTGAAGGTTTCATATAGCCAGGGTATCACCGTCTCTCTGTAGATCCTTACTGATGGTTTCATATGGACACAGGATCGCCGTCTCTGTATAGGTACTTGATACCTGTAGGTTTCAGATAGACTGTAGCTCACTGGTGTTTTGATCACTTATTAATGTAGATTAAATAGTTTCAGATAGACTGTAGCTCACTGGTGTTTTGATGTTTCAGATAGACTGTAGCTCACTGGTGTTTTGATCACTTATTAATGTAGATTAAATAATAATTTGCGAGTGATACAATTTTTTATAAGAATTGTAACAAATAAAACATTCATTGACTGAACAGATCCTATTATATGTCATTATTTTTTGTAACTATTTTTTCTAACGATATCTCTGTTGTTGTTTTTTTTTCAGAACTTTTGGGACGATTCCATTCGTTACCTTACTTTAGTGACCACGCTGGGCGTCCTCTTTGTTATTCTTGTATTCCTACTGCCGATAGAGGGCGTTGCTGAGTATCTTAATTGGCTTTTAGGATTTTTAGTTTGGGCAGCCATGATGGTGACTATTTCTATTTGGAGTTATGTGAGGCCTGTTCAGGTCAGTACTGACAACCTGTTGCTCGTCTACCTAACAATATTTACTATCAATACCATGTTACCCCTGCCAAGACTCTCAGCTCTCATTACCTCACTTGTCACAGCTGTCTCCCAGGTGGCGCTATCAGCAGCCTTAGCGAACTTTGAAACCGACTATCTCGGAAGTCAGGTACGTACATAACACGAGAGTGTTACACGGTTGTTCCCAAGTTTGCTTGTTTTTTATGTTATTTTGCTATTTAAAATATTAAAATAATAATAATAATAGTTCTGTTTACTCTACAACATTTAATATCTACATCTTCAGTGCAAGTTCAAGAGAAAAGTTGACAATGGGTTTAGGCTAGCTTTAATGTCATCTGTGCAAAGTAAAAATGGAAACTTACACATTTTAATTTTTGTACTTACTGCGGGAGAAAACTCATAAAGTTCAAAGGTTAAATCTAGGTCAGTGGTTTCCAGCCTGGGGTCCGCGAAGGTAATACTGGGAGGTTCGTGAGTTATTTTATTTAAATACACGGAAGGACACAGAATAATAACACGTAAAAAGCTGAGACTGTCCTATAACTGTCACAGTTTATCTGACCCTCTAAGTATGTGAGAAAAGCCGAGACTGTCCTATCTATAACTGTCACAGTTTATCTGACCCTCTAAGTATGTGAGAAAAGCCGAGGGGTCAGATAAACTAGTGACAGTTATAGATAGGACAGTTCTAAGTATGTGAGAAAAGCTGAAACTCTCCTATCTATAACTGTCATAGTTTATCTGACTCTCTAAGTATGTGAGAAAAGCCGAGACTGTCCTATCTATAACTGTCATAGTTTATCTGACCCTCTAAGTATGTGAGAAAAGCTGAGACTGTCCTATCTATAACTGTCACAGTTTATCTGACCCTCTAAGTATGTGAGAAAAGCCGACCAGTTCTCGTGGGAAAAAATTCGGAACTTAGTTTCAATAAAGCAACATCAATCAGCTCATTAAAGAAGTATTTTTTTTGATAATGATGTTCTTTTAATTACACCTTCAGTTATATATCTTTTATTTGACAGTGAAAAATAGGAAAACAAATTTGTTAGGTAGATGAAATCTTTCAAAAAAAGATGGGGTCCGTGGGGGAAAAAATAATAATAAAAAATGGCCATTGGAGGTGAAAACGTTGGGAACCACTGACGTGGGTGAAAGACAAATATTTATTAATTTTCAGACATATACTCAAAATGAGAGGCACCAAGGTAACTAACATTTTTTTTCAATTAGTTAATTGTTTTTCTAATTTTTTTTTATAAAACTTTTAAAATGTTAATAGCGTCATATAGAGATTTTCTAAATAGGTGTTTGTAGAGATTTACTAAATAGGTGATTGTAGAGATTTACTAAATAGATGATTGTAGGGATTTTCTAAATAGGTGTTTGTAGAGATTTACTAAATAGGTGATTGTAGAGATTTACTAAATAGGTGATTGTAGGGATTTTCTAAATAGGTGATTGTAGAGATTTTCTAAATAGCTGATTGTAGATATTTACTAAATAGGTGATTGTAGAGATTTACTAAATAGGTGATTGTAGAGATTTACTAAATAGGTGTTTGTAAATATTTTCTAAATAGGTGTTTGTAGAGATTTTCTAAATAGGTGATTGTAGAGATTTTCTAAATAGGTAATTGTAGAGATTTACTAAATAGGTGTTTGTAGAGATTTTCTAAATAGGTGTTTGTAAATATTTTCTAAATAGGTGTTTGTAGAAATTTTCTAAATAGGTGTTTGTAGATATTTTCTAAATAGGGATTTTAGACAGTTTCTAATTAGGGATTTTAGACAGTTTCTAAATAGGTGTTTGTAGATATTTTCTAAATAGGTGTTTGTAGAAATTTTCAAAATAGGTGTTTGTAGAGATTTACTAAATAGGTGTTTGTAGCGATTTTCTCAATAGGTGTTTGTAGAGATTTTCTAAATGGGTGTTTGTAAATATTTTCTAAATAGGTGTTTGTAGAGATATTCTAAAGGTGTATTTTATGATGGTGGTTCCTTTGTAATAAGAATGCGTTTTGTCAAGTGTGTTATTTTAGTAACAACACAAAAAGAAGCAGTTAAGAAGCAGACAATTACAATGTTAATATTCATATAAAACGCAGTTCCAATATACGTATCTTATGATATGGGTACCTGAAATAGCTAGACAGACTGATATGTCTTTCACGTACAACAACTGGATACCCTATAAAATAATTCTATACTGTAGGTACATAAAAAACAGGTACAGCGACCTCTATAGCTCTAACAGAGAATGATTATACACCAGATAGAATCATTGTATATGGTGTAGAATACTTGAACATCAAGTATGACACTTGTATATCATGTAGTATACTTGTACATCATGTAGTATACTTGTACATCATATAGTATACTTGTACACCATGTAGAATACTTGTACATCAAGCAGTATACTTGTACATCATGTAGTATACTTGTACACCATGTAGAATACTTGTACATCAAGCAGTATACTTGTATATCATGTAGTATACTTGTACACCATGTAGAATACTTGTACATCAAGCAGTATACTTGTATATCATGTAGTATACTTGTACACCATGTAGAATAC